TCTACAGATGCACCATTTTTTATCTTTTCTACGGTATTTTTATTGTACCTTTTCTATGTGTAGATACACAAATACTTGCCATTGTGTTACAATTGCCTACGGTATTCAGCGCAGTAACGTGCTGTCCAGGTTTGTAGCCCAGGAGCAATAGTCTATGCCATCTCGCCCAGGTGTGCAGTAGGCTCTACCAGCCAGGTTTGTGTAAGTTCACTCTCTGATGTACTCACGATGACAAAATCACCTAACAACACATTTCTCAGAATGTATCCCTGTCGTTAAGTAGCACATGTCTGTATCTGTTCATTTTTGCCTTGAGTAACTTCTTCTCCTTGAAGGAATTGCCTCTTGTACCCCTGGTGGGATTGTCGATCATGTGCCCTGACTCTGCAGTGAGCAGGAGGTGTGTGAGACAGCCTGGGCCAATCAGGGTATCCCGTCTTCCTAAACGCAGTGATGGGCCCAGTGGTGGACTTCTGTCCCAAGCAAGGTCATTCAGAGTCCACTTAGGGGAAATAATATGCATGCTGGGAAAGACTGTCTCTCCTTCTGAGATTGTAATCATCATGTAAGCTAATAGGGACCATTTTTTCTATCCAAATAGAGTCTATTTGAGTAAGAAGCTAATGGGAAAAAAGCAGAGCTGAGAGACACTCCTGATGACGTCATTTGAGCCCCTGGATCTAGCCATTTCTGAAGCCTAATTAGTCGGTCAATAAGTCTTCTTTTTACCTATGTTAATTCAATTTGATTTTCTGATGTTAAAAAAAACCACAAAACAACCCCCCCCCCCAAAAAACCCCACACAACTACAAAGATACTTTATGTAGTAGAAGGGGTGACAGACTTGACTGCTATTTCATTGCCACCATCTGCTGCCTGCTTCTGTCACTGCTTGTGGAGACTTCTATGCTGACCCAAATAGCTCCTCACCAGGGACCATTTCTCTTCCATTATTTATTTTCCATTTCTACTCACAAAGGAGATCACATTGGGCAGCAATTACTGCTACAGCCATCCATGCTACATATAGCTCATGCACTGTTCTTTCTCTTTACCTCCTCTCCCTGGCCATGCCTGGGTCTCAAATGAAAAGGCATTATCAACCTTCATCAGGGATAGAAAGAGGTATGAAGGAAGAGCTTCCCTTGAAATTCTAGGCTGTCTGTACAGTATCTGGTAGCTCCAGAAACAACATGGACTACTGATGTTGTGACTTATTATAGACAACGTGATTTAGTTAATATCAGTGTCTGAATTTCTTCAGAAATAGAAACTAAAAGGAGCAAAAAGAGATCAGGGAGATGATCTCTTTCAGTGTCTGCCCAGTGTGGGTGGCTCTCACTGTTATACAAGAGACAACGTCATTGGAACATGGACACGGCATTAAATAGCACTGAGTCAGAAGTATGACATTCTTTCCCGAATCTAATCAAGAGGAAGTATCAGACAGAAATGGAGGGCCGGTCTATAAAGTCGCCAGCCTGCATTCTTCAAAAATGCCAATGTCAGGGGCTGGCCCCGTGGCCGAGTGGTTAAGTTCGCACACTCCGCTGCAGGCAGCCCAGTGTTTCGTTGGTTCGAATCCTGGGCGCTGACATGGCACTGCTCATCAGACCACGCTGAGGCAGTGTCCCACATGCCACAACTAGAAGGACCCACAACGAAGAATACACAACTATGTACCGGGGGACTTTGGGGAGAAAAAGGAAGAAATAAAAAAAATGCCAGTGTCAGGAAATACAAAGAAAGGCTGAGGAACTCTTCCAGATTAAAGAAGACCAAAAAGACATGTGACTACCAAATGTAATACATGATCAGAGCTGGTTCCTGTACTGGGGAAAAAATGCTATAAATGACCTTATTGGGTCAATTGACAAAATTGAATTATAATGGAATTATAGCCTGGAGTTAGATAGAAGTAATGCATCCATGTTAAATTTCTTGAATATGATTACTATACTGTGGTTATAAAAGAGCATACCCTTATTCTTGGGAAAGACATACTGGGGTCATTAAGGGCATGGTGTTTGCAACCTACTCGATGGTTCAGAAAAAAAAATTATAAGTGTATATAGAAAGAGAGAAAATGAAAAAGCAAATAAAGTCGATGTTCAAAACTGGTAAATCCAGCTAAAGAGATCTACTGGAGTTCTTTTGTACTATTCTTATACCTTTTCTGTAAGTTTGAAATTGTTTCAAAATAGAAAGTTTTCTCACAAAAGAGTAAGCCAGTCTTTCAAGTTTCTTTCAACCCTCATGATTATGTCAAAGAGAAAGTATCAGTTGGAGACTAATACACCTTGAACACTTTTCTAACACTTGCTAATCGCCCTTTTTAATAAAGAGAGAGCAAGCCTCAGGCTCGGTCCTTGGCAAGCAGCAGTTACTAGCTAGAATTTAATAAAGTAGTCTTGTTTTCATTGTATTTACTTTCTATTTATGACAAGTAGGGGAGCTTTCCCTGTATGATAAGATATAAAACTACCCTTTAAATAAATTTATATAATTAGAAATGAGTTAATGTGAAGAAAAATATTGATATAAAAGTACAAGTAGAATTTGGAGGGTAAAGACGTGATGTTTAGTCCCAAATTGCCTGACGTTTAGGAAACCCTGTTCTATTCTGATGGCCTCATTTTACAGGAAGGGAGACTGGACCTCTGAAAGTTAGGTGGCTTGTCTAAGATCCCATAGTCCCTAGTGGTGAGGATGGAGCTCTCAGGGCCATCGCCCCTTCCACCACAGCCCACTGCTGTGTGACTCACGACACAAGAGCGTCAAAGTCAGCCCTACAATAAGAAATGCAAAGTGGCATCACTTTTTGCTTATACACACGCATATGCATACACACACAAGCTAGTTATCCATTTTGCAAATCAGGCAACTCATAGCAAAAGCAACCCTCACTCTTGGCTTAGACCTCTGACATTGAAACGATCTTTTCTCCTTTTCTCATTTCCCAAGCAGCCAATGGAACAGAGTGAGTCATTCCTATATAGTTTGTAGACAAATTCAAAACATTCTTTTTTTAAAGCACTGATACAATCCTAGAATCCTGGCAACTTGAAAGAACAGCTAGTTCCATTTCATAAATAGATTTGGAAATAGTTGAGGGAAGGAAAGCTGGGCATTCACATGTTTCAAGGTACTGGCCCTGTGTCCCCACTCTCAGTGCTTACGGTTCCTGGAGGTGCCAGCGAAAATACTGTCCTTTTTCTCTGACTTTCTTGCTATTACTCAACACTGTTTCCATACATCTGTAGGTGGATTTTATTTGGCCTTCAGTGAAAAATTAGAGCTGGCGAGGTGAGTGCTAATGTGTATATCTGATTTAGCCCCTCCACTACTGTCAGGGAATTCAACGGCACAGCAAGAGAATTTCCTTTGCTAACAAGGAGGGCATCTGACAGCTTCCTTAGACTCATTCCAGGCTTTATTGCTCTGACTGGTGAGAGAGCCTTCCTCCTGCTAACTGAGTCCATCTGAGCACGAGTGTGTGTCTGCATCTCCTTTTTCCCTCCTCCACGGAGAGCAAATGGACTCTAGTCTTTGTAAAATAATCTTTACATGTTTGAGGATAATTGCCAGTCCTCCCTTTGCCTCTCTCTCCCCAAAGCCAACTCACTCAGTTTTTCCATCTTCACGCGTAAAACAACATTTTCCAATCTATTCATCATCTTCATGGCTCACCTTTGAGCTTTCATGTTGTTTTATCCCATAACTCTAAAGTTGTTGAGTCCAGAACAGAACACACTATTTTAAGGGTGTGTGCAGTCAGTGCAAAAATGCCCAACATTCCTGCTTCCTTGGGAGGCCCAAACCTCTTGGGGTATTCTGGGACCCCCTGGACTCTCCAGGCCCGAGCAAATCTGTTGTGGGGCAGTTGGAGTCCTAAACACGCCTTTGGTTGCTCAAGTTCCATCCACACAACATTTTAGGTAAGAGGTGGTGTAGGAGGAACCTCAGAGACATACCCTAGAACTTCCTAAGTGGAACATCCGGTTTAGTACCAGGGTCGCTTGGTGGTCAAGAGGACTACTTAAAGGTTGGCCAAATCCTAAAGCCCCCCAGAGGACCAAATTTACTATGAGAGGAAATCAGGCATATAGGCCATTCTGGGACTTGTCAAACTTTTGCCAAAGTACCTATTTATCTGAGGCTGCTATGTGGAAGGATTTTAGAGATACTAAGAAATCACAGAGAGATGCTCCCTCCCCAGTACCATGGGAGAAATTCTACACTGTGCCCCACAGTTTCAATCTACCTAACACACGTGGGCTTCATTTAATAACTCTGTGTGAGAATCTTGCCCTGCCCACCCTACAGTAGTGTGGAAATGTAATAACTGGGGACACTCTTTGAAAACTCTAAAAGCAGAGACTGAACAGAGGGAGGTGGGGGGTCGAGGGTCTTGAGAGCAAGATGTTACACAGTTCTGTGTCTGAGGGGGTCTCAGAACTGTCCCAGCCCCTGACTATCATTAGCACCTGAATGACCCACCTGTCAGGTTTAAGGTATCGGCCCCAAAGTTTCCAGATTCCCTTGGGGATTGAAGAGGGGGAGTAGCAAATGCTGCATATTGGACAATCTACTCAAATGGTGGGAAAATTATTCCCTAAAAAGAGCTTTATGCTGATCATTGGAGGTCAGTGTGTCTAGACTTCTCAATTTATGTATGGGGAAACTGAGGCCCAGAGAGGGTGACTGGTTCAAGAACGGGCAACAAGTAGTGGCAGAACCAACACTAAAATTCACCTCTCTATCCTCAGCCAGCTGGCCCTCTTTGAAAATACTAGAGCATCAAACCACTCAACAAAAGGGGAGAAATTCCTTCATCTCTCTATCTAGACGTTTTTAATAGATGGGGGCATGTCAACCGCCATTTTCTGGTTCAGCTCAGATGCCCAATGCAGGGTGGGTAAGTGGGAGGCTGGGGTGAACAGTGTGTGTGTGTACATTTCACCCTCTTTCTTTGCATTTTGGTTACATTTAACTATGTGTTACCTCTTCGCAGAGTAGTTTATATCATTTCAGGATGCCAAGAATGACATCAACATCTATTAAAACCTAATGTTTCACATTCTCAACTGTAAACATTAACATTGCTTAGTTTCCAGATATAAACTCAAAGTCATTCTGAAGTTGGATGGTTTCTTTCCAAGAAAGTTGGTGTTACTGTAATGAAATTTACCTAATTAATCTCCTTAAGGAGGGAAGGAATCCAATGATGACTGTTAATAAAGACCTCAACGTTCTTCTTGTAATCAGAGCAAGGCAATCTGTGGATTCATTTTGGGAGAGACCATAACTTTCCAAATAAATCTTAGTAAAGCTTTGCAGACAGGGCACTTGAGCTATTTCCCCACTTGGCTGGCTTGCTTTCAGCCTTAACTAGCCCTGTGTAAACTTCTCTACAGCCTCTGGGTGTATTTATATTCACCTGTGACCTTGGACCCCAATGGCCAGGGTCACCGTTCTTGATGCCAAGAACTCGTATAAAAGGTAAATTTGAACAAGTCATTGATGGAAACTCTTGGTCTGCCGTATTTCAAAGCCATTCGCTCCCTGCACATAATCTGCAAGCTGCCTGCATGGGCCCACCCCTTGATACTTGCACAATATTTTGTTGAGTGTGAAGAAGAGTGGCAGTCACCCTCTGCCAGGGCCTTCCCTGAACCCCAGTGGGGCCATCCACATATATGTTACCAAGAATTTCTCCTTTCAAAGGAGCACAGAGCGTCACAGCACGGTATAGGAAGCCACACTGGAGAGTAAGGAGAACATGCTGCTATCTCCTGGTTCCGGCTTCAAGAGGGCTGGAGAGGTGGCACCCACAAGGACGAGTCTTCTGAGAGATAGCCTTCTTCGAAGATGTTGAGAGATTGGTGGAGTTTATTAACCCTGGAACTGAGACTATGTCAGCAAAGAAGGCCTTAAAGAGCCCCAGGAGGCAGGTGACCGGAGTAGAATCAAGAACACAACGTCTTCACCACCGCCCACACCATCCATGGAAAACTATCGTTTAGGCCTTGATGTGGTAACATTCTGGAGCAATTCATCCCTAAAAGTTCACGGTGGGCACCCTATGCTCTACAGCCTCCACTCCCCTTGTAAGGGGTCTGAAATCCGGGTCTGAGCTCAGCCTTTATTGTAATTGCTGCTTTCATCATGTGTGTCCCACACTGGATTGTAAGCTCCATGAGAGCAGGGAACTAATCTATTTCTATAGATCAATTTCCAGCACAGGACTGACACTCAATAAATACATGATGAATGAATGAATAACTGTGGCAGATAGTGTTACCATGCTCATCTATTCACTTCCTCCTTCCCTATCATACATTCCTCTGGGCTTGGGCATGTGACTTGATTTGGCCAATGAGATCCAAGCGGGTGTAACACAAACCGTTTCTGAGCAGTAGATTGCATGGTTTGGCTCAACCTCTTGTGCTTCTTCTCTCTGCCACAAGGCTGCATGTTGCAGGTGGGGGCTGCTTCTGCGGCCTGAGTCCCAGAACAAGAAGATGCAAGAAGCCGACCCAGAGTCAGCCCACAGTCCAGAGCAGAGCTGTGGCCAATCCACTGCTCTTGTGTCGCATTGTGGAGAAATGAATGTTTGCTGGTGTAAGCCACTTGAATTCAGGAGTTGTCTGTTGCCATGGCAAAAGCCCCAAGATTGGAGGAATAAGGTCTCTCCCACTGAATTTCGCCCTCGTGCTGGCACAGCTGCCTTCAATGCCTCCATTTTGCCAAAGCTGGGAGCAGATGGCAAACCCATGTGCTTTGCCCCCATACCATCTAGCAAGTAGTCCTTCTGCTGTCTTCTCCGAAAGAACACAAAGCTTCCTCCATCGCAGAGAAACCTAATGATTAACTATCAAGGCTGCTTACAGGGGAGAGTGGCCTGAAAGAAAGTTTACATATCATATTTTAAACATTTACTCGGTTTTAAAATAAATACAAGCCTGAAGCCGGCTCCAGCCCCCTCCCTTTCTTCACCTGCCAGGGAAGCGTGTTCTCTCCAGTTCTTCAAAGAGCCGGAGTGCAAGGCGCTGGGGGTGGACTGTTGTCTAGAATCTGCAAATGATCTGATGGAAATCTCAAGGTCTTCTCCCTCCGCACCAGTCTTCGATTTACCTCGGGAAGAACTTTGAGTATTAAATGTGCACGGGACTGCGGGCACAAGCAAAGGCAGACCAAAGAAATCCCGGAGACACTGTATTCTTGGCCCAGTTCTGTTATTACTCCCTGAAGCTGTCTATATGATACTGAAACTTTTGATGAATGGTGAAAAAAAAATGCAGAAAGATATATGAAATAGTAAACAGCCAAACAACTAAATGATTCATATTTTTATCAGAGTCTTTAAGGATATCTATCCTCACAGTCCCGGCCTCCCCCACTGTGCTGATAATTCCAAATTCTACGTTTCCAACCTTGACTGTTCTCACCAGGTGCAGATCCTTATAGCCACTGGATTGTCCACAACACTTCAAATGCAATATATTTGAGATTAAACATTGATGTCCCCTCGAGCATGGGATCCTTCCCCGTCATTTCTCCTATTGATTAATGGTACCCCATCCACCCAGTCATCCAAGCCAGACACTGGGAATCTTGCTGGGTGCTCTCCTCTCCCCAGGCTCTGCATTCATCTAATTATCAAGTCCTGTGTCACCCCAAATCCTTTGTGGGAGAAAGCTGGCCACAAATAATTCATACATACGGATATAAGGAAAGGTCCTACTTATAGTATCCCTAAAATGTCCCTAAAACTCCTTCCCCGCACCCCACTAGTCCTCCCCCACCCTAATTGTCTCAGTTCATCTCCACTGTTGGAGAAACCTCCTAACGGCTCTGCATGCAGTCTATGCACTGCCCCCATGTTCTATCCTCCAGACCAGAGTCCTTCCTAAACACAAACCTAATGATGTTACTCTCTTCCTGGGAAGCCCACTGTGGCTTTCCATCAGATACAGAATAAAGCTCCAACTTTGACTGGCTCGTGGAGAACTTTGTGACTGGCCTCTGGGAGCATTTTGGACACAGTGTCCTTCTTCCCTGGGAACACTGTGTTTACCTAGGGGACCCCTGCTTATCCTTTGTGGCTCAGCCCAAGGATCCTGTCCTCTGTGAGGGCTGGCTTCCCTCCAGAGATAGGCAACCTCCCTCCCCACCAACTGCCCAAAGTTTTACCCAACCATCCAACAGCGTTGCTTTTCGTGGTGTGTTGACGTGTTTGTCCCCTCTGTCGAACCATGAGTGCTGTGAAAGTGGTAAACCTGCCTGAGTTATTTCTCTAACCTCAGGGCCAGTCACATTGCATATATCCTGTCAACATCATTGCATAAATCGAAGAATCAATATCAGAATAAATTCTCCAGCCAGATCCTAAGTATCCTTAAGTGGATAAACAATTTAACGTATTAATTTACCTGTCTGTAAATGAAAATCGGAATGAGAATCAACAAGGCGGATTTTTTTTAAGCAACCATCTTCTAAAGAAAAACACAAAAAATTATGCTATCCCGGCATTATTTCTGTAGAGACGATGACATTTGCTGTAGAACTAGAACATGAGACTACTGACGCTCTGACTTAGAGCATTAACGCCCCCATGTAGTGATGCTGAAGGGGGGCTATTCGGGAGGATGATGTTCAGAACCTAAGCTTTTCCCTTGTGATGAGAAAGCATAAGAGCTTATTTTGCAGAGCTCTCTAGATTTCTCTTTCATAGACAGCATAGTCCTGGAGAGCATGAACTTTGGAGCCAAAACTGAGTCTCAATTCTAGCACTTATCAGCTCTGTGACTTTAGGCAAGTAACTTAACCCCTCTGTATCTCAATTTTCCGGTCTGCAAAATTAGTATGTTAATAGCACTTACTTTGTAAGTTATTATAAGGATTAAATGAATTAATGCAGACAAAGTACTTACGACAATACTTGGCATAACATAAGAGCTCCTGAAGACATAAATTTTCCCCAAATATTAGGATACATTTTCCAACTGTCAAAGATGGTTAGATCCACTTTAAATAGCATTTCTCTTACATTGTCAAGCATTTTTGTGTTTCTACGATTTCTCATCGTTAATTATTGTCCAGAGTTTCACAAAGTCCACGCAATTTTCACGAAGCATATATGAAGATTTAGAGAAACCAATCCAAAATATACATGTTCATGGAGTTTATCCTCAGCTCCCTGCCTTAACTATCCTCCACCTTTTGTTCGGGGAAGACCAAGCAGAAACAGTGACTGCGGGAGCCCCAGAGGCCGCCATGATGTGTGCGTGCCCAGTGTCACTGTGCCATCTAGTGGACACAGAGCTCAGCCGCCGTCTGAAGCCCTCTCGGAGGAGCTGGATTCCAGGGGAGGGTTTAGCCCTAACTGCTCTGTCCATCTGGCCAGCTCCTGGGTGATCTCATAACCCCACCCCCTTGATGTGCATCCTCAGCACTAATCGTCTGAGACACCGGGAATCCCTCTCATAAGCTGACAGCTCTACAGATGAATTCAGCTTGTCCATCCTCCCTCACAGGCGCCTTTGCAGAAGAAGGCAGAGAAGAAAGGAATGAAAATGGGCGCGATGGTATTTATAAAAGCCAGAAAGAAGCCAGCCAACATTCACCTATGTTTTAATAAGGATATACCAAACAAGCCAGCCAGCAAGACGTGCCAACGCTTAATAACTTTTTGACCTCTCTTTCTGGCTTCAGTGCCTCTTGGCACAAGAAGGCCTGGGGCTGACAAGGGCTGAGCCGACTGAGGGCTGAGTCTCATTTTATTGAAGAGTTTTTAGAGGAGGCCAACTGCTCTTTGTAGGTGATTAAAAGCTTATCCCCAGAAGGCGCGTAAACACTCCCCCGCCATAACTCAGCTCTGGCATGCGGGGCAAGGGCATTGAACACCATAACGGGAGAGTATCCACATAAAGACCCAATCAAAGGCAAGGTTTGCCTCTGAAGGGTGCTTGGAGGCCAATAATCCACCTCGTCTTTATTTTCTACTCACAGTTCTTGGCCACAGCGACCAGGCGGGCCAATATTAAACTTGAAAGACAATGGGTTTGGAATCAACAACTAACTGAAATCACTTGCTTGGGCCTCAGTTCAACACATTCTAGCAACAGACGTGCTAACCCATAGGGTGACAATGGGTGAGCGTAGCTGTGTCTCGTCCAGACCCCATGTTCTTTGGGTGATCCTCTTATTTCGCGGTCCTTCAAAAATTTACACTATTATGAGAAAGAATAAAGTCTGTGGGACACTATTTGTCCAAGAACACTTAATTGTTGATGGAGAGAACATTCCAAATCAAGAAAAGGATTCAGGTAGGAAAGATCTAGAAATATTTCCAAATAAAAGCTAAAAAAAAAAAAAGGAGCATGGAGTGAGAGCTATAGTACAGGGAGAATGTCTAGACATGTAGGCAGATTCTTATTTCTTTCTCTTTTTGTTAGTTCCCAAATCACAGAGTGCAAGGCTTGTTCTTCTTAAAAGCCAATTAGAGAAGATAAACTGAGTCAAGTCATCACGTCATAAAAATGCCAAAGGAGAAGGAGCTACTGAACAGTCCCGTTTCTACTGCAGAGGTTTGCAGGAGGCAGGAATCTCTTGCACCATCTCTTTGGTGACTAGCTGTCCTGAGCCGGGAAGCTCCATTTACATCCTCTAATGGCCCTACGTAGACACAGGTCTTTGAGAGTTTAGAGCTGGGAGAGCAGGACATCAGACCACACACCCCTCACCCCACCCAACAAAGAATGCGGGCCCCGGAGAAGTCAAGGTCAATCAGTTAGTGAGTGACAGCGCTAGAATTCAAGATGCTAAAGCTCAGCTCGTGTTCTTAACTTCATTCCATTGCTTATGCAACACAAACCCATTTGGGAGGAAATTCATTCATTCAAAAAATTTTTGAGCTCTAACAAAATGTGAAGATACGCCAATGAATAAAATATAGTCTCTTGTCCCTGGTGAGTTTGTCATCCAGCAGAGAAAATAAATAAGTCCATCAACGTTTACAAAGCAGAGTGGTAAGTTGCTCTAGGTGGGGTCATATGCCATGGGTGCATGACAGAGGGCATCCGTGTCAACTCTGGAGGGGAGAGGAAGATTTTGCTAAGAGACTTGACGCTGAATCCCAAAGGGTGAGTAGGAGTTAATCAGAAGAGAGAGAGAAACATGTTGCAGAAAGGCCTCCAAGCATGGGAGACTATAATAAATTCAGGGGACTGCAAAATTTGGACATGGTTAGAGCATATGTGTCTGTATGCACATTGAGTGCGTGTGTGTGTGTGTGTGTGTGTGTATACTATGGGGCATGGAGGAGTGTGGAATGGAAGAGGAGGAGATGAGACCAATGAGACAGGTTGCAGCTGGCTCATTAGGGTCTGGACTGCTGTGCTAAGGAGCTAAGATTTCAGCCTGAAGTTGTAATGGAAAGCCACTGAAAGATTTTATCTTGATGTGATTTAATAGGCATTTACAAAGAGAACTTTAGCAGTGGAGAAGGAATTGAAGCAGGAAGGAGTAAAATTCAGGATGTTTTCAAAAAAAGAAATAGCTTCTTTCCCCAGCTAAAATAGAAAACATTATGGGAAAAAATCCCATGAACATTGACTATTATTTGATGTCTTTTATGGGAAGAGAGAAACAAGGAAGAGAGAAACTGAGGCAGCAAAACCTCCTGAGATCCACACACCCTCAGTGCTCCCAAAGGGTCTTCCCTGGAGGTGCCTTACCATTGCCTGTGACCCCACCACCCTGGCCACATCTTACTGGACCAGAGCAGACACCTGATCTGAAGCAATCTATCCAGGACCTAAGATGTCACCTGGGGTGTGGTTTGGGGCAAAACTGCCCAGCAGGACTGACATTGTAGATTAATCAAATCCTATCCTGAGGGGTTTGAACAGGAGACATAAAAAGAGGGTTGAGCAGTGGTTAAAGGAGCAGAAGTTGAAAAAATTGTAAAAACAAAGACAGAGATGATGCAGACATGGTAATGAGGTGCTCATGCTGCTGAAGTGTCAGCAGAACCTAACCACTAGAACTTTCCATTCCCAAACCACATCCATTCTGGGTGAGCCCCAGCTCTTCACAGGTGCTCTTAAGGCTGGCCCTTTGGCAGAGGTCCCTTTGTTCTTATTTCTACGGTATCTTGACAACAATGCCCTGTTACTCAAGTGAGTGCACTTCTGCTCCTGGGAACCAAAGGCGGCTAATGACACACTCTTGTACCCAGGGAGCCAGACCACGTCTGAGATTTGTGGATGCAAACTCAGACTTGTCAGTGGTTTACTGACTCTTATTTAATCTCCCACCATGCAGTTTCCTAGTCCTGTCTTGGGGAAGAGAGTTATAGAGTCCGTAAGTCCTCATCCTGGAGTGACAAGTCCATAGAAGGTGTCACAGAAGCACCCCGAGCAGAGTCAGGAAAATTCGGAGCCCATTACAAGAGCCTAAGAAGCAACCTGTAGGTGCTGGAAACAACAGGCTCCACGCTGGTGGCTGTGAAGAGCCAAGCACGAGGGCAGTGACCTGTTTTGAGGCCACTGGGCCGCCTGCTGCATCTCCTAGGTGCCAGTCTGACCATTTTCCCAGTTCATTGCACAAGCCTCACTGAGTGTGTACTGGGTACCAGAATGGTTGACCTAGAGGCTCTGGGGGCTGTAGACAATATAGGAAAAGCAAGAGGATGTTCTCAAGGAGCTGGAGGACTCTGTGGAAATGGTATAGACTCAGGAAACAGTGTAGAAATGGTGTAGACTCAGCCAAAATGTGAGATACAAACAAATATTTATTGAGCATTGACGCTTTGCCAGACACTGCTCCGGGCATTTTTGGACTTCACCTCTAGCCCTGACCACAGCCCTGCAAGGCTGGTATTTTTGTACCTTTTTACAATAAGGTGCAAGCTTCAGAGAAGTTAATAAATTTTTCCAGGATTGAAAACCAGTGGGGAACCACAGCAGGTTCCCCAGAGAAGAGTAATATAACAGCAATGGCACTTTGAAAAGATTAATTAGGAGATGATATTCAGGGTTGCCCCACGGTAGAAGACAATAGACATTTCATACTAATCTATGCAGAGTATGAGGCAGGACTGTTGCAGGGATAAGAGGAAGAGAAGAGTTGGAAAGAGAGATGGATAATCAGCAAGCAACCAAAGAAAAGACCCTGTAAGCGCTGACCCAATTTAAGTCCAGAAGAATGTTCACTAATGACTAACTGTAGATACATATATGGGGAATAAAATGAAATCAAAAAGACCCCTGGGAACCAGAAGGGCTCTGTGTGGCTAACCAGGACTTATGAACAAAATGGAGTCAAGTGGCCACGACAAGATCATGACAGGGATGCAGTCACGTACTCTGTTCTCAGAAAAACCACTGAATCTACTCTTAAGCTTTGACTCTGCAGAAGTTCCTGTTTTTTACAAAAGCCCCTAACAGCCGCTTGGACCTAATCAATAAAACTGTGGCCTGCGCCAACCAGTCAGGATTGACCTGGCTTGCATCCTTCATTTGAATAAGAGGACCTGAGTGGGAACCTGTGCGGGAACTTTTTCTACAAAGGCAGTCCCTTGTCTTTGTTCTCCCAGGAATGTTCTTTCCATTTGCTGCCAAAGGCCCTGTCTCCCCGGTTTGCAAACTGTATGAGCAATAAAGCTTTCCTAACTCAGTTATCGTATTCCAGATATTTTTGTTGACTCACACATACACCCTATTAAAAGTCCCTATCTTCTATCAGACTGAAAAAAATTAAAAGAAAATATGCAAAGTTAACAAATTCCCTGAATCTGAACTAATTTTGGAGTTGATAATGTTTGGGGGGCAACGCCATTGTACAAGGCAGGTTGAATGGTCTGCCCCCATCCACAGCCTCTGCTGAAGACATGAGCTTAGATGGTCCATGGACATGACCCCATCTCCAACATACAGACCTTTCTTGACTTATGGTGGGGTTACATCCTGACAGACTCATCCTGAGCTGAAGATATCGTTGTTGGAAATGCATTTAACACACCTAACCTACTAAACCTCGTAGCTTAGCCTAGCCCACCTTAAACGTGCTCAGAACATTTATATTAGCCTACACTTGGGAAAATCATTTAACACAAAGCCTATCTTATAATAAAGTGTTGAATATCTCATGTAACTTATTGACTACTGTACTGAAGGTGAAAACAGAATGGCTATGCGGGTACAGAATGGTTGTAAGTATGTTGGTTGTTTAATCCTCATGATCACGTGACTGACCGGGAGCTGTGGCTTGCTGCCACTGCCCAGCATCATGAGACAGCATCCTACCACATATCGCTAGTCCAGGGAAAGACCAAAATTCAAAATTCAAAGTACAGTTTCTACTGAATGCGTATCGCTTTTGCACCATTGTAAAGTCAAAACATCTTCAGTTGAACCGTGGTAAGTCAGGCACCGTCTGTATACCTATTAGACAAGGAATGCATGTCTGGTTCACTGGCCAGCCATGAGTCAACTCTCTCTCAAGACTGGCAAGTCCTCAAGATAGAGACAGGAATCAGAAATAGAGAGTATCTCTGGCTCCCAATAGGGCTCACTCCTGTCCCATGAGACTTGCTTATACTTTGGGTCTTGTGTCCAAGCTACTATCTGTTACAAACTTGTATGCAACGGCCCTTTACTTGAGCTAGCTCCGGTGGAACTCTGTTCTTCACACCCAAATGCTCCCTGACAAAGAAAGGAAGGCAAGTAGATACACTGGAGGCCAGGAATCGCCACACAGCAGCCTGCAGGGCCAACCACAGACGTGTTCACTGTGGCCACGCCGGCTGCTGCTGCTGCTGTAATTTGAATCCGGCTGCCTTTAGGTGGAGCACGCTCCCTCCAGTCTGCTGCAGCCCTTCCACTCCCTATTGTATTACCAGAGCACCCGGCCCTCCTCGTTCACTTGACATTACCTGCCTCACCCCTGTAATTATTTGAGTTGAAATCTTTGATCTAGACCTGGTATGTGTGGTGTGAGTGTGTGTGTGTGTTGTGTGTGTGTGTTGTGTGTGTGTGTGGCTTGTGTGCGTGTCTAGGAGGGCACCAATCACAGCAGTGGTAAAATAGAAAGAACACTGGCCAGGAGCAGAGTTCCCTTTGGTCTTTTCAGTTGTTCAAAAGTAAATGTATTTGGTGAGCAAAAACTTCGAAACAGAAGGAAAGTACAGTGTCATGGTCAAGTAAAAGTTGCAGCCAAGTGTCCTTGGCATGTGCGCAGGGGCCATTGTGTAACTTGGTGAATGGAGGCAACTGTTACATTTGTTGGGATGCTTTTGGTTGCAAAATGTAGAAATACAAACAAAACTAGGTTAAAAAAAGAGGGACGGAACCAACCTCGCAGTATCAAGGGAAGAGTTTCTATAGAAACCAGACTTCAGGGATGGAGGACCTAGCACCACCAGGCCCCTCTTTCTGTTTCTCATCTCTGCCTGTTTTCATCCGTCTCTCTATTCTTGCCTGTATTCTGAAGAAAGATTTTTTTCTCTTTCTCTCAGTGGAAAGGCAGATGATACTGGCATCTCCAGACATACATAGTCCAAACACAGCAACGCCTCTGAGAAGAGAGCTTCTCTCTCGCACCATCTTGAGAACATGACTGATTCTCACAGGAGGGTTTCAATTAGAGCCAGTGGGTCAGGCTCCAGGAGACTGGAATTCTCCAGTTGGCTTGGCCCAGGCTATGTACCCATGCCTTCATGGCCAGGGGTGGGGGCGGGCAGGGAGGGTAGAGAAAATTCACAAGAAAACCAAAAACTATAGCTATACAGCCCACCACAACTAGTTAAAATATGTTTTAGTTAAATGACTGTATTAAATATTATTTTGCCCAGTGAAAGCAAGCATTTCTGCACTTAAATGGTGGAATTTGGTTCAGCAGCTCCGTAGGTCCCAATAAGACCCCCTCTAATGGCACCTTTTTGAGATTTTCCCTGAAAAGAGGGCCAGATGCCGCTGGTGCAGGACTTCCCCGGGCCTGTGTGCCAGGAAGGCTGGGGTGGGACAAGCTAACTTCAACAATACTTCTTACACACAGAGGGGAAGCCAGGACAGCTGGGCAGAGGTGTGCTGGAAGCGAGCGCTTAGAAGGTAACAAGGAAGGTGAGCCCAGAAAGCAAAAATCCGATTGCTCTGCTAGAGCAGAACGGGGAAGAATAAACTAGAAATGGTCATAATTAGCTAGCTGTGAAAGTTGAGAGAGGCACCAAGAGAAGAGCTCAGATTGAGGCAACTTGGGAACACCTGGTCCATTTGGAGAGAAAGCAGAACTTAAATTAATTGTGTTGTAACTGGGCTGAAGGAAGAACTTGACCACAGGCAGGAGCTGGGGAGGACAGCCTGGAGTCCTGAAAGGGGAACAGGGAGGGAGAGCCGGTCAGGCTGTCTCCAGCCCAATGGCTCCAGAATAGGGAGTGGGCCTGACCCGACCACCAGGCATCAGGTGTGTAAACAGTCGCACTCAGGACGCTCAGCAGAGTTCATGTACTGGCACGTTTTCTTCTTGGCTCCGAAGCTCCAAATGCCTAAGTATTTCACCAAATATCAGGTGCACCATTATTTTATGTACCGCAAAGAAAAAGCAATTATGCCAATTACACTACAACACGCTTTCTTATCCTGTCAGCTTTTAATCCTTTAGATGATTTGAGACTTATCTAGATACAGATGTTATCGTACATCAAGTCTGTCCGTACATGAAAAGAAAAATGTAAGAGAAATAAAATGGTGAAAGTACTTCCTAAGACTTCTTCATATTCAGTCTCTGATTCTTCTGAATCATTTTAAACTCAGAGACATTGATGTCTATGTTTTTTCCTCCATGATAGCATCCTCTTCGTTCAATGAGGTGCAGCATTTCTTAAAAGAGAATAAAACATACGTATATTTGTTCTACTAGAAATTTGAATATGGGCTATATATCAGATGATATTAGGACATCAACGTTAACTTTCTTGGGTGAGATAATACCATGTGATCATCTAGAAGAATGTCCTTGTTCTTAAAAATATTTAGGAGTGAAGTGTCACATTATTTGCAGATCACTTTCAAAATGATCCCGCAAACAAACAAAAACACCCAAAAAATCAGAGAGACAGAGAAAGAGAGGTAAGGCAAACATCCCCAAACGATATCCATAGCAAAATCTAGGGGAAGGATGTCTAGGTCTTCACTGAACTATTTTTTAACTTTTCTGTAGGTTTAAAAGTTTTCTAAATAAAATGTTACGAGGAAAAAAAAAGAGTGCTCTAAGAAATCCACTCAGATTTTCTTCCAAGCTTTTCTCAAGCTGCCAACCCCAATTCTGAGGGTTTAGATTCCAGCGCTTTCTTGATCTTACCAGATAGACATCAACAGAAGTTTTCAGACAAGAATCATGACTCGTATTCTTTCTCCCAAGAGGTCTTCCCTGGTTTGTTGACTGAAGCATCAATGGCTGCAATTTTCCAGGCATGTCTCAAGAAATAACAAGCAAATTCATCCATTTGCAGGCAACAGCAACTAGGGCAGAGCTGCTGTCTGGTTGCAAAATGAATCCTTGTGTCAGGGATGTTAAAACATGAGGGGGGAAGGTGCATCTTAAAATTGGACAGTTGACACAGACATCCATGCCGCTCGGCAGTTAAGGATCTCACCGTGGCCTGACAAGTTAGAAGTCTGGCTTACAGGTCGGTCTTTGCGAGTTTGCTGAGCAGGAGTTACTCCCCTTGGCCTGCACATTTTCTGGAATTGCACATTTAGACCCTCTCCTGAACTATGTAACCCTTCCCAAGGCACCACCAGTCTGTGAGGCCCTGCCTGAGTACCAGCTGGCTTCTTCTCCCATTGACATCTCTTGTCTGCTGTCTCTGAGGGCAGCAGCGATCAGCACTGTCTAAACAGAGAGATGGCAGGCTTGCTAAGAGGGATTTCACACCATGTGCATCCCTTGTTGTAGGATGGTAACAAGGAACAGGAGGTCTCAGCCCATTGCTGTTTATACCATTAACTTACCTGGTATCTGAGAATAATAATGTCTGCACTGCCTCCTCCTATGTTCCATAAATATGAAGTAGCTGCTACATATTGTGGGACGATTGTCAACAACCAGAGGGAAACCTCCCTCCAAACACCCAAAGAAGTATGAAGTTCTGTTACTATAAGAACAAAGGTCTTTGAAAGGACAGATAAGAATGATGATGCCAAAACATAGCAGAGGACACTTTCTTCTTTAATGAATTTATTTACTCTCATTCCTTTGGTTCTTGAAGGAAAGATAATCTCAGTAGCTTGTTTTCTTAGCCTTTCTTTTTCTCTGCCCCTTTGGATATAAAACGCCTGTTCCGAATTACTCAAATATGCCTAGATCTCAAAAGCATGCTTGCGCTTATGCCCTTTTACACTTTTAATGTGGAAAAACCTCAGTAAGAAGAAGACAGGAAGGCTCAGAGATAAGGAGTTTCCTTCCTCTTGCGGTCCTGACATATTCGTGTCACTCCCAGCTCTGAAGCCCAACCCTTCAAGGTGCCCACCCTGCAGCCAGTGGCCTGCCCTGGGGGGGAGTTCCTCCCACACTGGCAGAGCAACCCGTGCAAGGCAAACCCTGCTTGCTGACATTTACTGACAAAGGCAGGAAATGTAAGTAAATCAAGCAAACAGAATTGACTCAACCAGCTCTAACAGCTTCTGTTTTGTGACTTAGGACTTCACAAACAGACAAGCACTTTGCCCAAGGCCACATGGCTCCTTGGTTGGGCAAGGCTGTGACTCCTGACTCAGCACCCCACCCTGTTTTGATTGCCTCCTCTTCACCCTGTTGGTGAAGGAGGGAGTCCCACCCTCGGCTTTGGGGGATGGCCAAACACTCGACAGTGACACTGGGCAGATGAGATGAACAGCAGTTTATTAGTCACACATGCTCAAAGCCTAGGGCAGGAGGACCTGGATGCCGCACAAAGCCATGCAGGGTTGCAGTCAGGAACCGAGGGGCTGGGGAAGCAGGTTTCGTAGTATCAAAAGGGTGGAGTGCACCCTGGTTCCCAAGGGAGGATGGAGTTGGCTTGTTTGAATAATTCTGTGGGCTGGCAGGGAACTGAAGCCCAGGATTCAGGGATAAGCAGGCACTGTGCTTGGTCCCTGTGATATGGAGGGTTGTGTGGCTACGGCATCTTATCCATGGGAGCAGAGTAGGGAGGGGAACTTGTGGTTACGCCATTCAAGGCCCTTCTGGATTCAGATTTCAAGACAGCACATAATATTGGGCTTAATTTTAGGCGTGTACCATACACCCTTCACCATATTTCCTTCCTTTTCATCTTCTGTGTTCAGGATGTGGACTTCTCTTAAATCTCTTTCTATATCCTATTATTCTGCTATGTCATTCTTCATCGGCTGTACTACTCACTCTTCTATAAGGACTGTTGCCTACGTAAATGGCAAGGTTCTGAAGCCCTCAACACAGGGATCTTTTCTGAGGGAAACTGAGATGGATAGTCTACCCAGGGAGAAGTAAACACTTTTAAGGCAGAATTCTAGAAGTAGGTTGCTTCCAGGGGTTTTGTCCATTTGAAACAACAGAACCTTACTCTAATGTCGGGTAGGGTCCTCTCAATCCAGAGCTTAACATAGCTTTACGTGGAGGAATTGTGGAAACTTTATAAGGATGCAAAACATTTGATGAGAATGACTCACTCCTACTCTGTAGTTCCCTCTCATTCAATTTATTGTGCTTTGTTAATCACAATGAATTATACAGACACGCACATGTAACCAAAGATGCGTGCAACAATATTAACGATGGCGATTTCTGCAGGGTGGAATTATGGGATTTCCTCATTCCTTTATTTTTTTTTGGAAATGATTATAGATTCAGAGGAAGTTGCAGTTTCCCCCATGGTACCCCTCATCTTGTTCTTACCTTTCTTTTCTTTCCTTCTCTTTCTTTTCCCTTCCTCCCTTCCTTCCTTCCTTCCTTCCTTTCTTCCCTCCTTCCTTCCTTCTTGCTTTCTCTCCTTCACAATCCCTGTCTATTATTTGGATAACAAAGAAAAGAAATGATGAAGAGCAAGTTTTACATGTAAATGATGCCCACACGGCCATTCACCTCCCTCGCTAACGTCCGCACGAAGAAGGGAGTAGTGTGGTCCAGCTGGGCCCTCGTGGCCTCCCTCCTTCCTTGGGCTGCTGTGTGTGCTACAGCGTCAGGGCGGCAGCAGCGCTCTCTGCCTCTGCTTGCACTTGGTCAGAGTCTCCTAAGCACTGAGTCGAAGGTGGGCTTGCCCTTCAACGTGCCCTGCACTCTCCGGCCACCTGTGCTCCTTGTAGGAAATGGTATTTAGTGTGCTGCTGCTGTTGCTGAACTTCTCCGTCCCATGCGTCCAGGTCCCCACCCCCATGATGGCCAGCGTTCTATCACCGGGGCAGTGGAGGGCTGCTCTCTGTCCCTTTGGGTGGGATCATTCACTTCCAGCCTCACTGCTTTCTGTACAATGCATTAAACAGACACGTCCTCTTGTTCTCCCGAGAGCTCAGGAGGAGCTCCGTGGCATTGCAGCTGAATGGCCGTGTTCCCCTTCCTGCAGGGGTGATGAGAGAGAGAGCAAGTGACAGTTCTCATTTTTCTTCTCTCCAGAGATGTTATGGATATTGTTCCCAGCCCTGCCTGGAGGGAAATTCAGAATGTTCTTGTTGTTCTGTCTTACATTCTGCTATTCTTCCTGACTTTGCTTGTTCTAAGATTCTGGAATAACTTCTCAGGGAGTTGTCCAAGAATCCTCATTTCTAAAAGTCACTCAGAACAAGACAGACAACACCCCCTGAGACATCAGAGCAGGTGGCAGTTAGAGGATGACGCCTCGGCTTTTGCCACGTAACAACACCACGTTGATACCAACACTGGTCCCAAGCTGCATCACTGAAGAATGAGCCAGAATTTTGTTCCACAAGACTCTGTAGGCTACAGCCTTAAGAAGCTAAGTGCCCCCAGGGCCTCCCTCCCATACTCTAAAATTTGATTTGCAACAAGGAATTGAGGAAAAAAGGGATTCTTAATTTTATCGTAAAATGCTGTGATGTGGCTAAGTATGTAATGTGATGAATGGCTAAGATCTAACAAAACCAACCCGTTTGCTGCAGGAGGCATCCAGCAGAACATCCAGCACGTGATCAGACAGAGCCTGGCATGCTGGCTAAGCTTGGAGTCAGGTTCTTTTGGATGCAAATCCCTCAGGAGGGTCAGCTGTGTGACCTTACAAACAGTAGTCAAATCTCCACTTCCTCATCTATAAAATGAAGTGACAAGAGCACCTCATGAGAGGGATTTGTAAAAATCAAGCGAGGTAAGGCATATACTGCGCTTAACAGAGGGCCCTGCAACATAGCAGGTGCTCAAAAATGTTAGCTGATTATCACTTTAATAAATACATGCTAATCTTAGTGGTAAAAACAAAATCATAGAAAAAATCTTCTCTGTCTCTAAGTATTTGCTGTTCTCAGCCACTCTAGAGTCGGCCAGGAACGAGGCATTTTTAGCTGTGAGCATGAGGCCACACCAACCCAGGCAGAAGCACAGTCCGACTGGGCATTCCCGCTTTCTAGGCTGCACGCAGTGAGCTCTGGCTCAATAAGGAGCAAACTCTAGTCGTGTCTGCCTTCTCGTTATCAGAGTGTCTGGAGAGATCACAGGGAAAGCAAACTTTATACGCGATCATGTTTTAAAGGCACAAGGGAATTTTCCTTTTTAATAGACTCTTTACAATTAGTCCTTTTATAATATAAATTGTTATAGTTTTATTAAATGCAAGTGATTGTTCAGTTTCTTTAACACAGAACACCCTCAAAGATTTTTAAATTGCCAGCATTATTAAGGATGTAACAGAGTGGGGGAAACAAACATCTTAACAGTTGGACCAAGGACTCTTAGTGAGGAAACTAATTCTGTTCAGGAAAACACACTGATATGCCACTTGGGGATGGAAGATGGGACCCTCAAGAGTCAACCAGGTAAGACAAGTAGTGAAACTTGACAGTGCTAGAAATAAGCAGGCACTGGGGGTGGGAAAAGAGCAGGGAGACTGGGGTTGCTGGGCAGCTCAGTGCAGTAGGAAAAGACTTTTAAACACTGAGGTGAGGGATAATTTTATGTGTCAACTTGGCTGAGCCATGGGGTTCCCAGAAATGTGGTCAAATATTATTCTGAATGTTTCTGTGATGGTGTTTGGCATAGATTAAGGTTAAAATCAGCGGACTTTGGGTAACGCAGTTGCCCTCCATAATGTGGGTGGGCCTCATTCAATCAGTTGAAGATCTGTCTACAACAAAAGCCTGAGACCCCAGCTCCCCCACCCCAGCAGAGGGAATTCTGCCAGCAGGCAGTCTTTTGACTTGAACTGCAAGGTCAGCTCTTTCCTGGGTCTCCAGTCTGGTGAGCTTCAGACTTAAACTGCAGGTTTTGGACTTGCCAGCCTCCATAATCACACGAGCCAACTCTTTAAAATAAATCTCTCTCTCTCTTTCTCTTTCTCTCTCTCTATACGCTAATACAACCAGATGTCTAATATTAAATGTGAAGTTGCGCTGCTGTGAAGTCTTCCTCCACTCCATTTTCTCAAACACATTTAGTCTGCAACGCACCCGCACGCCTTGTCCGAGTGGTTTGTGTGTATTTGTGTGTGTACGTGTGTGAGGCAAAGGAAGAGGCTAAGTTCCATGTCTGGGTTGTCATAGCACAGAACAAAAATAATGCCTGAAGATGGCAAGATGACCCTCAACCCGAATCAGTTCAGGAGAAGCAGGAATGTGGAGCCTGAAGACTCCACGAGAATGAGCCTTCCTTCTGCCTCCCCAGGAATTTGCACAACTTTGGGGAGAGCAATCGTTCAAGCCAAACTCAAGGAACTCTTAAGTGAAGGGGCAGGGAAATTGCCCTCCCCACCCCCACCCATCTGGACATCTGAGTTCCATAAAAACCAAAACCCTTTTTTCTTTTAAATTCAGGCTACCTTCATATTAATTGTCTTCAGCTAACACACTTAGAAGCAGAGTCAGGTGATAAAACTTTGCTAGTGATCACAACTTGCTTCTAATTATTCATATAGTCTCTGAAATTAAGAAAAAAATCCTAAATAAACCAAAACAAATAAAATAAAACACCAAGAGAGGCAATGCAAAACAGAATGGGGGAAGCATCTTAATTCTATTGAAGAGGAAAATGGAAAATGCCTCCCCAGGTGGTCCCAGGTGCTCCACTGCCAATGTTGCACTTGGGCGGGGTGCATCAGTGGCTCCCCCTCCTGGGCAGGGATGGAAGGACAGAGCGGGGAGAAGCAGGGCCATCTTGGAATATAGCTGGTGTGGGGATGCATTCCCTAGGGTTAGCAGAAAGAACCAAGGTCCTTAAGATGACACAAGATGACAGAGATGCCCAAACTGACTAAAAATAATTATCTGAAAAATGACATTCTAGGTGCCAAGGGGAGGGATAAGGATCAAGATGGATTCAAACATCCAAATGTATGCGCCTTAGGGGAGGAAAATGTGAACATTTGGGAAGTGTGCAGTGCTCTAGAGCCCAACAGAATTCATTCCTAAAGCATTTCTTGACAGGCGCGTGGATCCGATTGCAGCATGCTAAGTGCATGTTGAAACGGTGGCCTTTTATAGTTGCTGGAAAACAGCAGTAGAATAAATGGTTTGGTGCTCTCAGACCAAAATTCGCCTTCCTCTGTACAGCTTGTCTCATTCTGTCATTCCGAAAGTTTGAGAGGGACATCATATTGTTCTTAACTGCCTGAAAAACAAATCCAAACTCTTTCTAAATCATATTATATAGTCTAAGTCTGTATGTGATTCAGAGGACAAATAAAATAAATGCGAGATTTATGATTTATTTTTAAAATCAAAATCAGCACATTCCCGGGGTTAAGTAGAAAGGTCACAACCAATAAAAACATCTGATCAGCCTCATGAATGTGCTCCTTTAGCCACATTTCTCTTCCTCAATGGAGCATGTCTTCTCTGAAGATTTCACAATAACACATGCAAAGACCAAAGAGGGAATCTGTGTGATGATGCCAGGACCCACCAGACCAAGAAGCATCTGCCTCAGAGAGAGGAGGCGATGCAAATATTTAGAGGAACATCAAACCTCTGACATGTGCACATATCTGCAAAGCTTAATAAAATTTCCTGTAAGACACCTCTGCATGCAACTGCAAGAAACTTTGTTACTGAGCTCCAAATGAAGGGCTCGGTCTGATCCTGTGGAACTTGGAGCAGGGTTTCTTTCGAGAACCTATTAGCCTTTTTCTGCAGTTGGTCTTGGAAAGAGAGAGGTTCCAGCGCCCACCCCAGCAATTGGCAGACCTCTGCTTGGTATCAATGAAAGATCTTGGGCCAAAGATTCCAGAAGCAGTTGGCAGTCTTACTTACCTAATAAAAGAGTTAATAGAGTTTTATTATTTCAAGTTTCTCTTGAATGAAATACAGTATTTTTGTGATTTATGGATTCCTACCAAATCTAGATTAAAATCTTCCTTCAAGGGATCATTTAAGTCTTTCCTCTGTGTCCTTGGCCATTGCTTCTCTGTCTCCTTGATGCTCCCTCCTCTTCCTCCATCCTATGTCAAATGGGTGATCTTGTCTATCTACATCTGTTCCCTAGGTAACCCCATCCAGTCCCAAGACTTTAAGTATAATTCCTACACTGTTAACTCTCACAGGTAAATCGTCAGACCAGAACTCTCCTCTGAGCCTTGGACTTGAGAATCCAACTTCTGACTTGATACTGCCGCATGTTCAACACAGAACTCTTGACTTTCCCCCTAGATCTGTTTTCCCATCAGTTTTGACACCAGCATTCGTTCCATTGCTCGCACTAAGGGGAGGAGTTCCCCTTGAGTCCTCCCTTTCCCTCACTCCACTCATTCAGTCCATCATCCAATCCTCTTAGTCTACTTCTAAAACATGTCCCAAACCCCTCCTTCTCCCCGGGCACCACCCTGCTCCAGGCCACCACTCTCTCGTGACTAAACTGTTTTGCCAGCCTCCTCCATGGTCTCCCCACTTCCACACTTATTCCCTTAAAATGAATTCTCCACAAAGCAGCCAGAGGGAGTTTTTAAAAATGTCCCTCAGATAACATCACTCTGTTGCTTAAAACCCTCCAGGAAGCTTCTGCTTTCACTTAGGAAGTAGAAAACCACAGGAGAAAATGGCAGATAATCTACAAAATCCTAACTTTTCTTGAACCCATCAAGGAGCCGAGGTCACAAGGCAACCAAGCAAACTGAATTCCAAAGAGTGACAAGCCCCGCGAGGAGAGAAGGAACGCAAATGCGGCTTCACCTTTGGCAGAGTAAGGAAGGAAAAGGTGGCTGCTGTAAAAGTGGGTAGAAAGACATTATCTAAGGTTTTGACATATTCTTAAAAGCCGGTGTGGGCTAGCTTGTCAGTGTGGAATAGGTAGGCTCCCCAGACACAAGGCAAGTTTGCACTCACCTGCAAGCTCTTTACCGGTGGTCTCTAGAGAGTGCTCACAAGAAAGATGGCAGAAAGGGCGGGAGACCAGGGAGAGACCCTCTTGGTGGTACAAGTGTAGCTAAGATTGTCAGATTATATTGCAAAACAGGACCCAACTATTTGCTATCTATAAGAAACCTACTCCAAAAACAGGGAAACACAAACTGATTAAAAGTAAAAGGATGGAGAAAAAAGATACACTATGAAATTCCTACTCAAAATAAAGCTGAAGTAGTTACATTAATATTAGAGAAAGCAGATTTCAGGAAAAAAAGGACTATTACCAGGGATAAAGGGAGACATTGCATAATGACAAAGTGGTCAATTCATCAAAAAGACATAAGAATCCTACATGCGCAGGCACTTAGTACAGCTTTAAAATGCATGAAGTATAAACTGATTGAACAAAAAGAAAAAATAGATAAGTATACAATTATAACTGGAGATTTTGACACTCCTCTCGATAACTGACAGAACAAGTAGACAGAAAATCAGTAAGACTTAGTGATCAACACTACTAAATAAGTTGACCTAATTGCTATTTAGAGGACACTTTAATCAACAACAGCTGAGTACACATTCGTTGGTCATGCTTATGGAACGTTCACCAAGATAGGCCATGTTCTGAGTCATAAAACAAGCCTCAACGATTTTTTAAAAATTAAAATCATGTAAAATTCTCTTCTCTGACCACCATAGATTAAGTCATAATCAATAACAGAAACTTACCTAGAAAAATCACTAAATACTTTATATTAAACAACATTCTTCTAAATAATTCTTGGTTAGAAGAGGAATTCACGAGAAATATTAAAAAATATTTTTAATAAGATGGAAAGAAAACATAACATCAAAATTTGAGGGATACAGCTATAGCAATTCTTAGAGGGCAATTTATAACATTAAATGCTTACATTAGAAAATATAAAAGATCTCAAATCAATAATGCATAAGTTTCAACCTTAAGAAACTAGAAAAAGTAGAGTAAATTAACCCCATGCAATCAGAAGAAAGGAAACAATGATGAGAACATATATCGAGCAAACTGAAAATCAATAATCAATGAAACCAACAGCTGGCTGTTTTAGAAGATCAATAAAATTGATAAACCTTGAGCCAGTCTGATAAAAAAAAGAGAGAAGACACAAACTACCGATATCAGGAAGGAAAGAGGGAGAGATCACTATATATCTTACAGATATTAAAAAGATAAAAATGGAGTATTATGAACTGTATATCAACCAGCCTGATAACTTAAATAAAATAAAGTCTTTGAAATCACAAACTACAAGGATCATTCAAGAAGAAACAGATAACTAGTAGTCCTTTGTCTATGAAAGGAATTGGAATTTGTGATTTAAAACCTGCTCATAAAAGAAACTCCAGGCCCAGATGCTTCATTGGTGAATTCTACCAAACATTTAAGAAAGAAATAATACCAACTATACACAAACTCTTGTAGAAAATGGAAGTGGAAAGAATATTTCCCAAACCATTTTATGAAGCCGGAATTACCCTGATACCAACTTAGACAGAGATACTCCAAGAAAAGAAAACTGTGGACTATTGTCCCTCATGAACATAGATGCAAAATTTTAGCAAATCAAATCCAAAAATACATAAAAGATAATACATAAAGGATAACACATTGTCGCCAACTAGGTTTATTCCCTAGTTAAAGGGATGATGCAACAATAAAAATGAGTCAACTTAATCAATGCAATATTAAGAAAACTAAAACAAACCTATAATCGTCTCAATAGATGCAAAAAAAAAGTATTTGACAAAATTCAACACTCATTCCTGAGAAAAATTTAATAATCCATGAACAGAAGAAAACTTCCCCAATCTGATAAAGGGCATCAATGAAAAATCTAGAGCTAACATCAATTAATGATGAATGACTGAATGCTTTTTCCCTGAGATCAGGAATAAGGCAAGAATGTCCTGTTTCACAATTTCTTTTCATCATTGCACTGCAGCCAGTACAATAAGACAAGAAAAGAGATAAAAGATATAAAGATTGGAAAGAAAGAAGTAAAATTCTTCATTTGCAGACAACATGAATTTTAAAAGCCATCAGAATGAGTTTAGCAAGGTTGCAGACGGAAGATTAATATGCAAAAATCTATTGTATTTCTATAACCTAGCAATGAATAATCAGAAACTGGAATTATAAAGAAGAAAATCACTTACAATGGCATAAAAAATGAAATATTTATTGATAAATATGATAAAACGTATAAGATCTGTAACTTGAAAACTACAAGGTATTGCTGAGAGAAATTAAAGAAGATATAAACAAATGGAGAAACATGCAGTGTTTGTGGACTGAAAGACTCAAGACTGATGTCAATTCACCCCAAATTTATCTATAGATTTGATGCAATTTCATTCAAAATCCCAGCAGGATTTTTTTGGTAGAAATTGACAAACTGGGGCTGGCCCGGTAGCGCAGTGGTTGTTTGCACATTCTGCTTTGGCAGCCCAGTGTTCATCAGTTCAGATCCCAGGTGTGGACATGGCACTGCTTGGCAAGCCATGCTGTGGTAGGCATCCCACATATAAAGTAGAGGAAGATGTTAGCTCAGGGCCAGCCCTCCTCAGCAAAAAGAGGAGGATTGGCAGCAGTTAGCTCAGGGCTAATCTTCCCCAAAAAGAAAAAAAAAGGAAAGAAATTGACAAGCTGATTCTAAAATTCATATGGAAATTCAAAGAACTTAGAATAGCCACAAACAACTTTGAAAAAGAAGAACAAATTTGGAGGACTAACACTACATGACCTCAAGACGTATTACATAAAAAGCTACAGCAATCAAGATAGTGTGGTACTGGTGTCAACAGAGACAAATAGATCAACGAAACTGAATACAAGGTCCAGAAATAGACCTATATGTACGTGCTCAACTGGCTTTTAATAAAGGAGCAAAGGCAATTCAACGGAGAAAAGATGGTCTTGTCAACAAGTGGTGCTGGAACAACTGGACATCCATATATAAAAATGAACTTGGATCCATACTTCATATTATATACAAAAATTAACTCAAAATGGATCATAGATAAAAATATAAAACCTAAAACTATAATACCTGTAGAAGAAAACATAAGAAACTTAGGAAGAGTAGTTGCAATGGAATTTATTGCTCTCTCTCCAACATCTAGAACCGTACCTGGCACCTAGTAGGTATTCAGTAAATGCTTGTTGAGTGGGTGAAAAAAATGAATGATGATGAACAAATGAACCAGTAAATGAATGAGAGTGTGAGCAGTGAACAGAAACTAGACTCAGGGAGGTTTGGAGTTGAGGAAGTTGGTACAGTAAATGAGGAACATTTTTTGGAAAAAATTTTCAAAGGAGAAGACAGATTAGGTAATAGCTAGAGAAGGGCAGAGAACCAAGATGGGAGTTTGAGCTTGTTTTTGTTTATTTGTTTAGAATGGCAGGGTCTTCATCATGTTCATAATCTTAGGAGAAAGAGCCATCAGAGAAAGGAGGATTGGAGAGTACAAGAGAGAGAGGCATTGCGGTGGAGTGGGGTCCCAGAGGAGATGGGGGAAAATGAGAGGGAGAACATAATAGAAGTCTTTGTGGGAGGAAAGGCTCTCCAGCCTCTTGAGACTGGGGACTGCTGTGGATTCACGAGAGCTTGCAGGGGATGGGCAAGAGAACTGAAGTAGGATCTTAGGGCATCTGCTCAGAGGACTGAGTAGGAGACTAATGAATGAAGAGCTGATAACACAAAGAAGAGAGCTTAATAAAGAGAAGCAAAAAGGTGAGTGGTGACATAAAGAAATGGAAAGATATTCCGTGCTCTTGGATTGGAAGAATTAACATAGTTAAAATGTCCATACTTCCTAAAGCAATCTACAGATTCAACACAATCCCTATCAAAGTTCCAACAACACTTTTCACAGAAATAGAACAAAGAATCCTAGAATTTATAGGGAACAACAAACTACCCTGAATAGCCAAAGGCATCCTGAGAAAAAAGAACAAAGCTGGAGGCATCACACTCCCTGATTTCAAAATATACTACACAGCTATAGTGACCAAAAGAGCATGGTACTGGCACAAAAACAGACACACAGATCAATGGAACAGAACTGAGAGCCCAGAAATATACCCACGCGTCTGTGGACAGCTAATTTTTTGACAAGGGAGCCAAGAGCATACAATAGAGAAAGGAGAGTCTCTTCAGTAAATGGTGTTGGGAAAACTGGACAGCCACATGCAAAAGAAGGAAAGTAGACCATTATCTTACACCATGCACAAAAATCAGCTCAAGTGGATTAAAGACTTGAATGTAAGATCTGAAACCATGAAACTTCTAGAAAAAAACATAAACAGTACACTCTTCAACATCTGTCTTAGCAGCATTTTTTTCAAATACCATGTCTGACCGGGCAAGGGAAACAGAAAAAATGAACAAATGGGAGAGACTACATCAAACTAAAAAGCTTCTGCACAGCAAAGGAAATCATTAACAAAACAAAAAGACACCCTAAGAATTGGGAGAAGATATTTGCAAACCACAAATCAGATAAGGTTAATATCCAAAAAATACAAAGAACTCATACATCTCAACAACAAAAAATCTAACAACCCAATTTAAAAAGTGGGCAAAAGATCTGAACAGAGATTTCTCCAAAGAAGATATACAGATGGCCCACAGGCACATGAAATGATGTTCAACATCATTAACTATTAGGGAAGTGCAAATCAAAACTACAATGAGGTATCACCTCACTCCCATCAGAATGGATATAATCAACAAGACAGAAAACAATAAGTGTTGGAGAGGATGTGGAGAGAAGGGAACTCTCATACACTGCTGGTGGGAGTGCAAACTGGTGCAGCCACTATGGAAAGCAGTATGGAGTATCCTCAGAAAATTAAGAATAGATCGACCATATGATCCACCTATTCCACTGCTGGCTGTTTATCCAAAGAACTTGAAAACAAAAAGGCATAAAGATACATGCACCCCTATGTTCATCGCAGCATTATACACAATAGCCAAGAGCTGGAAGCAACCTAGGTGCCCATCAAGGGACAAATGGATAAAGAAGATGTGGTATTTATACACAATGGAATACTACTCAGCCATAAGAAATTATGAAATCCGGCCATTTGTGACAACATGGATGGACCTTGAGGGTATTATGCTGAGTGAAATAAGTCAGAGGGAGAAAGTCAAATACCGAATGATCTCATTCATAAGTAGAAGATAAAAACAATGACAAACAAACACATAGCAACAGAGATTGGATTGGTGGTTACCAGAGGGGAAGCGGGGAGGGTGGAGGGAGAAAGTGGTGATTAGGCACATGTGTGGTGATGGATGGTAATTAGTCTTTGGGCGGTGAACATGATGTAATCTACACAGAGTTTGAAATATATTACGATGTACATCTGAAATTTATATAATGTTATAAACCAATGTTACTGAAAAAAAAATAAATTCAATTAAAAAAAATAAAGCTGAGTGGCAGAACTAAGGGCCCGGCTGAGCCCAGGAGTGTGAGTTGGCAGCTGCGCCACTTGACAGCTGTGTGAGCTTCTCCAAGAGTTCACGATCACCTGAAGATGGATGGGTTAGGGTGCAATTGATTCCAGGTTGGGAGTTTGCAAGGGGTGTAGGGACAAGAGGGTGAGGAGCTGGGGATGCTGCAGAAGGAGCAATTCAATCAGAGCTTCTGAGAACCCAGCTCATAGGCTGGTTCCCGGGAGATCACCAAAAGTCGTTGTCAGAGTGGT